ACTTAAAAACTGAATGCGGTATACTAGAACAATGTGTTGGGGAGCACGATCCCACATATATTATAATGTATGCTCTATGTAGTGAGTTTTTGTCATAATTCATACCTAATTTGTGTTTTATGAATGTTGGACTTTTTTTAATGTTCTTTTATTTCATATAACAAATTATGAATGAAAAACGACTCATATCGTTTAAATGACTACAATCGTTTTCTCTTAAAAAGACTACAGTCATTTAAAATGATCGGAGTCATTTTCAGTTGTACTCGCATCTCGTTCTTCTATTATATACTCAATTTTCTGTAATTTTTTAGATGAAATATTTTGAAAGCAAACCAAACACAGTTTAAATTGTTATTACATTATGATTTAACTTAAGAGGTTACGTGTTTGATTGACATCTCATCTTTGATTATATATGACGATTTAACTTATTCAAATTAATTATAATTTGAATACTTGAAAATCGAATACAATATATACTTAAATAATGTATCATTATAATGAAGTTCATCTTCTTATATGTTTTTAAACGAAATATATTGAATGTTGAAGAAATAGATACCAAATTAAACAAATTCATAGAAAAACGACTACAAGTATTTCTAACGACTTGAGTTATTGTTTAGAAAGACTAGAGTCTTTTTAAATCGTTCACTGTAGTCGCTTTTTACGAGCTGAACATCTCTAGTTTTTTCATAAAAATGATTGCAGAGAAAAATAACTATAGTCATTTTAAACAGCTATAGTCGTTTTTTAAACAAGTGTGTAGCGGAGCACGGTGATAATCAAAGCCTTATAGATAGCAAATTTAGTTGAAAATTCATAGAAAATGACTATAAGTCTTTCAAAACGACTTCAATAGTTTTTCAAAAAGAATAGTCTTTTTAAATAACCAAAGTCATTTTAGGAAAATAACTCCAATTGTTTTAAAAACTTGCGGTCATTTTTTCCTAAAATGACTTTAGTCGTCTTTTTCCCCCTTTTTTTTTGTAAATGTTGGCTTATTTTTTTAGGCTAAATTAGTTTATATATCAGGGGAGATAATGTAGTTTTTTCCTAAAAATATTAATTGTTGACTATAATTGTTTTAGAAAGACTATCGTCTTTCAAAATGACTTTAGTTGTTTAGGAAAATGACTCTAGCAAGAATTGTAGTATTTTTTTCCCCTAAGATGAAGTGTGTTCTTTCTAAAATAATTGGAGTCAATATTTTTGAAAGAATTCGACAACTTGTAATATGAACTAAACTAACCTGAAAAAATTTAAAAAAAATCACAAAACACAAATTTTAAAGTAAATTGGGTAGCAGCTGCCATAAAAAATTTAACATTTAACACGCGTTATAATAAGTTGAAATCAAATTTTAGTATACACTCACAACATACAAATACAAATCAAAAAGTCCTAGAGTTAATAAGTTGATAATTTGGTCATAGGTCAAGCCTTTGGGATGAGCTCTTTCCTTAGCCTCTTAACTTCTTCTCTAGGTAACTAACCATCAAACCAGTCGTGTCGGTAGAAAAAATGCAAGAATCGGTTGTAAAATCTTCTCAAAATTAGTTAATCTCTCGCTATATCTCCCTTTATATCTTGTATTGTTCAACAAAACTCATTTTTTCATCACCTTCATAGACGCAAAGAAACAAAGTACGTCACATGACGTTCCAGCAATTCAAATTGTCTTCTTTGTCAACTCAGACCTCTTCCACTTCATTAAAGCCGGTATGTCATCTAAATCCCTAATTTCCGCAACACATAAAGCATATATCATTAATCATATACACCACCCAGAGTAGAATTATATGTGAAAGGAAAATCAAAATGCAAAAGAGACTTTAATGCAAGAAACATAAAATTGCCTACAATTCCATAAAATCAATATTAGAAACCCATATTACACTCTCGAAATTGAAGAACGATATATTTTACCTCAAAATAAAAGGAAAGCAACACACAGATTTTTGAAGAGCTCTATTGATTTGAGTTTTTTTCTTCTCAATGTTGAATATAACTGTTAATTTGTGGTTTGATGAGCAAATTGTTGTATTTGAAATTTCTTTTATTTAATTTTGCAGATTTTAGTTTTGGTTGAGAGTGGAATTAAGGAGAAAAACAAGAAGAAAAGCCGATTGAAGGGACTAAAAGAAATGGGAAGAAGAGATCTTTCATAGGTTTGGAATGGTAAAATAAGAAATAGCAATATTAATACTTTGTTGAACTTATTTTTATATGTAAATTGCGATCAAAGGCCAAAAAAAAGTTTCCATCCGGGTCAAAAGGCCTTTTCCTACCATTGCAAAGATGCACGTGCACAAGTGTATACAATGTATTTTTAAATAAAATAATACCCATGAAATAAACTTGAACTTATTTTATATGAACTTATATTTTCTTGAGCCAACATACGTTATTTAATGTGAACTACAAAATGTGCCTAATATTGGTATACTTTTTCCTTCTCCCATAATACTTAGATATTTAGTCCAAATAAAATAAAATGAATAGATCGAGCGATCAAGTTATCTTATGAACTTTACTGTGATTAATAAGACCATGATGTAAATGTGTTTCTATAGTCTAAACGATCAAAGACAACACAATAAAATTTAGTTACTCTACTTTTAGAATAAGTAAACTTTTCGAAGTGTTACTTATTAGTTCATAACCTTTTGTAGAACATATAAAAGATCTAAAAACTCTTGAGAGTGACCAACAAAGCTCGAAAGTCCCAAGTACTGATCCAACTTTGTTTCTCTTAATGACTAACATCAAACTTTTCGACTGTAGTTGCATAAGAAACAACCCCTTTATTTTCAATTTCATAATAGGCCCTTACAGTGAAGATTTTATATACTAAAACAATACATTTTAGAAAAGTTAAAGAAGCTTGTTACTTCTTCAATCTATTGATCACATTTTATCCTGGGATCAGATTATCACTGGAGACTTAGAGCGAGTTTGGTAGCATTTTATGATCTGATACCATTAACGGAGTGCTGTTTTCTCTTTTGCTAGCCTCTCTAGATTTACCAGCAGAAGCTCTGAAAATCTGCATCGTTAAGCTTCATCCTGAAATGACACATGAGAAAATGAGGAAAATAGAATCAAGAAACTTGGATCATATTTGTTTGAAATTGCTGTGACATGATTGTATAGCAGAAGTGAATGGTTCTTGAATGATTTCAACGATAACAAATCGGTGAAAGGCCCATCAACTTATAGTGTGTGGCAAGCTTAAGGGCATGGCGACTTGGGTATTTTCTACTTCACATGACAATGGAAGATGTTCTCAGTTTCTTTTCCAATTGGCGAGTAATCACAACTTCACAAGGGTTGAACCAAGGAATACAGCTCTCTTATATATTCACTTTTATTCACCAGCTTACTTGTCCTCTATTTATTGATTTTGAAATTATTCTTTTAAAAAAAAAAAAATCAGATATTCAATATGTTTTCATAAAAATTGATGAAATATAGTGTTGAAAATGAATTAGATGAAAGAAATACGTTTTGAAAAAGGGAGCCAGACAAAGATTGTTGTATATTGTTCAAAAATCAATCAATCAAGTGTGGAATGAAAAGTGGAACCAGAGGTCTAAATTTTGGCCTATGTGACCACATAAGCCAAAATCGCTTACGGACTGCATGGCCATTTGCAGAAATTGGAGGGTCTGCCGTTGAGAGTTCTATGTGGCTGCATAGGTTTAATCTATGCGGTTGCATAGAACGATTTTCTAGCCGTTAATGGCCATTGCTATTTGAATTTCTGGTGGCTTTTCACTTGATTTTGGCACCATTTCGTGTAGTCTTATTGAAGTCTATATAGGTGATTGACATTCATTACAAATTACATAGAAAAAACCAATTTGGTGATTACATTGTCATTCCACAAAAGATAAAAATCCTCTTATCATATTTATTTCCTCATGTTCTTGAGTTTTGGAAGATATTACTAGTGCTTACGTGTTATATCTTCTTTAAGGCTTGATAAATCCTACAAACCATTTGCCAAGATCCCTGTAAGCATCAAAGTCAATTTGGAAAGGGAAAATTTTGTATGAGGATAACGATTACGTGTTCGGGCCTTCTTCATCTTCGTTTTCTATTTTGGTTTTAGTCTTCGTTTGTTCTCTATTCTCTGTTTGTGAAGGCATATTTACAACATTCCCAAACAAAATTTTGCAATGCATAATGGAAGTAATATGGCTACGATCAAGTTATTGAATCAAGACCTCGTTCGCTTGGATCGCTTTGAGGGCACTATCTTCATGAGATGGCAAGACAAATTAAAATTCTTACTAACGGGGTTGAAGATATTCTATATATTAGATCCAGAATTGGTACCGCTACCAGAACAACAAATGGAGAAACAGATGCCATAAAAGCCGAAAGAGAAAAATCCCAAGAAGGTGAACTCATATGCCATGGCCATACTCTCAATGCTCTATTTGATGGGCTGTACGATCTATACACCAACACATCATCAGCAAAGGAAATCTGGAACACTTTGAAAAGTAAGAGCCTATTTGTCTCCCATTATGAGAGAAATTATAGAGTTTTGAATAGTATTTTTTGGAGAATGTGTGATTAAAA